GTGAGCTGTGATGCCACAGCACTCTACCCAGGGCAACAGCTTGAGGCTCTGTCTCAAAAAAAAGAAACTTTCCTTCATTTGGCTTCCAGGACACCTGTTCCAGGGAGTTCTCCTTCCTCACTGGTCATTACTCACTGCCTTGGTCATCTCACGAGTCCATGCTTTTAAATACCATGTACACACTAATGGTTTTCAAATTTATACCTCTAATCCTGACTCTGCCCTTTACTCCAGATTCATAAATCTAACTGCCTATTCATGTGCCTACCTAAATGGTTAACAGGTCTCTCAAGTTGCACAAGTCCAAATTTGAGCCCCTGATACATACCTCCCAGCACCAAAATCTGCTGTTCTTTCAGGATTCTACATTCCAGTAATTACCAATTCTATCCTGCCAGTTACTTATAAAAAAAAAAATTGGCTGGAGAAATTTTATTCATTTGTCTTACATGCTACACTCAAGCCATTAGCAAATTCTATTGGCTGTAACACCAAAATATCTAGAATCTCCTTCTCATTCATGTCATTACTGCCCTGGACCAACTCACTGTGGTGGGCAGCTCTTTCCTGGATGACTATAATAGCTTCTTATTTGGTCTCTCTGTTCCATTCTCAACCTCATCCCTTGCAGTCTATTCTCAACATGGCACAGTGATTCTTTAATATACATGTGAAAACACAAAATTCTTCCTCATTAGTATAGTGGTGAGTATACACATGAAAGGGGAAAAAGGCTGGGCGCAGTGGCTCTCATCTGTAATCCTAGCACTTGGGAGGCCAAGGTGGGTGGATTGCCTGAGCTCATGAGTTCAAGACCAGCCTGAGCAAGAGCGAGACCCCATCTTTAAAAAACTAGCCAGGTGTTGTGATGGGCGCCTGTAATCCCAGCTACTTGGGAGGCTGAGGCAAGAGGATCACTCGAACTTAGGTATTTGAGGTTGCTGTGAGCTGTGACACCACAGCACTCTACCAAGGGTGACCAAGTGAGATTCTGTCTCAAAAAAATAAAGGTGGGGATGGGGGAGTTTAGGTAAAATAAATAAATAAAAAAACACAAAATTTCTCTGCTTAAAAGTCTCCAGTGATTGGGCGGTGCCTGTGGCTCAGTGGGTAGGGTGCTGGCCCCATACACCGAAGGTGGTGGGTTCAAATCCATCCCTGACCAAACTGCAACAAAAAAATAGCTGGGTGTTGTGGCAGGAGCCTGTAGTCCCAGCTATGCAGGAGGCCGAGGCAAGAGAATCGCCTAAGCCCAGGAATTGGTGTGTTGACACCACAGCACTCTACTGAGAGCGATAAAGTGAGACCCTGTCTCATTAAAAAAAAAAGTGTCAGCAGGCAGGAGAGGCCTTTTCCGGGAAGGCGACAAAATGGCAGAAGTGGAGCAAAAGAAGAAGCAGACCTTCTGCAAGTTCACCTACCGTGGCGTGGATCTCGACCAGTTGCTGGATATGTCCTAAGAGCAGCTGATGCAGCTTTACAGTGCCCGCCAGCGGTGGCTAAACAGAGGCCTGTGCCACAAGCAGCACTCACTGCTGAAGTGCTTGTGTAAGGCCAAGAAGGAGACACCACCCATGGAGAAGCCAGAAGTGGTGAAGACACATCTGCAGGACATGATCATCCTACCTGAAATGGTGGGCAGCATGGTGGGTGTCTACAATGGCAAGACCTTCAACCAGGTCGAGATCAAGCCTGAAATGATCGGTCACTACCTAGTGGAGTTCTCCATTATCTACAAGCCTGTGAAGCATGGCCGACCAGGCACTGGGGCCACCCACTCCTCCTGCTTCATCCCTCTCAAGTAGGCTGCCCAGTCAATAAAGATACTTCTCCAGTTTTAAAAAAAAAAAGTCTCCATGACTTTTCCACCTTTCTCAGAGAATTAAAGTCTTCCTTTTAATCTGGTCCTCCATGATCTGGTCACCTCTATAACCTTATCTGCTATTTTTAAGTTTGTTCACTGCTCCAAAAACACTGGCCTTTTTGGTGTTCTTCAAACATGCCAGGCAAATGTCCACTTCAGAGCCACTGCACCACTTCAGAGCCACTGTAGTTTTCTTTACCAGTGATATTCTTTCCCCAGGTCCCTATGAGCCTGGCTCTCTCTTTGCTCAGAGCTCAAAAGTCACTTTCTTGGTGAAGTCTTTCCTGATCACTCTAGCACCCCCATCTACCTTCTCTGCTTTACTTTTCTCTACAACACTTATCACCATCTGACATATTTTAATTTTTGTTTTCTTTCCTTAGATCTAGAGACAAATTGGAATATTTTATTTATTTATTGTTGTCTTTCCACACTGGAATGTGCAAACTCACTCAAAGCAGAGACTTTTATCTATCTTCTTCACTGCTGCATTCCTAATAACTAAAACAGTACCTGACTTAGAGTAGGTACACAATAAATATTCATTGAAAATATATATTTTAAAATCTTGGTATGAATTTGAAAGACCATTAAACATACTTTTCTTCTACTCATCACTCTATCTAATCTAGCTAAAAAAAATCTGTTCTGCTTTCTCATCCCATTTGCTTTTTCTACAGTCAACCCTACAAATATGCCCTCTCTCTTCTTCTAATTCTCTCCTTTAAAATGATTATTCTCCTTTTTCAAACTTACCTCCTTCCACAAAACTCCAAATTGGGCCAGTTGGCCTCTTGTCAAAATAACCTAAAAAATAAAAATAGTTTTTGATTGGTATGCTAGGATTATGTGGAACTCTTTTTTAAGACAGAGTCTCACTACCGTGTTTCCCCAAAAATAAGACTTACCCAAAAAATAAGTCGTAGTAGGATTTGTATGCATTTGTTAAACATAAGCCCTACCCCAATAATAAGACCTAGTGATGCATTTCAGTGCAGAGCAGTAAGGAAGACTGGAATACCTTTTATCTGCCACAGCTCCTTTCTCAGAGCCATTTGCACATGCATGGGTGCGTGGGTGGTAACCACGGTCATAGTCATCCTGTTGTGCATGTGCAAACGGCTAAGGGAAAGGAGTTCATGCATCACTAGCGCCAGCCCCACCAAGGTTGGCTCCCCCTGTCAAGTTCCAGAAGAAGAAGACTTAACTGTATTTGAATAAATGTAGATTGTTGTATTATACTTAATAAAAATAAGACATCCCCTGAAAATAAGGCCTAGTATGTCTTCTTTTTTTTTTTTTTTTTTTTAGTAGTATGTCTTCTTGAGAAAAAATAAACATAAGACAGTGTCTTATTTTTGGGGAAACACGGTATGTCACCTTTGGTAGAGTGCTGTGGCATCACAGCTCACAGTAATCTCAAACTCTTGGGCTTAAGCGATTCTTTTGCCTCAGTCTCCCAAGTAGGTGGGACTACAGGTGGCTGTCACAATGCCTGGTCATTTTTGTTGTAGCTATCATTGTTGTTTAGCTGGCCCAGGCTAGGTTTGAACCCACCAGCCTATGTGGCCAGTACCCTATTCACTGAGCAACGGGCACTGCTCTATGTGGAACTTTTTAAGAGTAATAGTCTTATAAAGACGTAATTCATATATGCCATTAATTCATTCACTTTAAGTGTACAATCCAATGACTTTTAATATGTTCACAGATATGTGCAACTTTTACCAAGTATATTTTAGAACAGTTTCATCACTTCAAGAAAAAACCTATATTCTTTAGCTCTCACTAATGTCCCACTTCTCATCCCTGCTCCCCCCAGCCCTAAGCAACCACTCATCTATTCGAGTCTCCATAGATTTCCCTATTCTGGGCTTTCACATAAATGGAATCATATAGGATATGGTCTTTTCTGACTGGCTTCTTTCACCTAGCATAGTATTTTCAAGGCTTCTTTTTTTTTTTGAGACAGAGCCTCAAGCTATTCCTCTGGGTAGAGTGCCGTGCCATTACAGCTCACAGCAACCTCCAACTCCTGGGCTCAAGCGAGTCTCCTTCCTCTGTCTCCCAAGTAGCTGGGACCACAGGCACCCACCACAATGCCTGGCTATTTTTTGGTTGTAGCCATCATTGTTGTTTGGCGGGCCTGGGCTGGATTTGAACCTGCCACCTTGGGTGTACGTGGCTGGTGCCTTAGCCACTTGAGCCACAGGCGCCAAGCCTCAAGGCTTCTTAAAATCATATAATTTATCAATGGCTCCTCATGACTTAAGGGATTAAACCAAACTCCTTTGCCTAGAATGCATGGCTCTCTCTATAAGGGCAGAACCTGTCCTTCCTGCCTTATTTCCCACTCCTGCCCTAAATGTTCCCTCCCTTTCCAGTTAATTTTCTTCCCTCCGACTGGAACAGGTTGAGAACTGCTGCTGTAGAGGGAGCCGTGGCACTCTAGCCCAGGAAATAGAGTGAAACTTTGTCTCCAAAAAAACTACTCTGTCCTGAAAACTCTACTAACCTCCTTCAGCTCTTTCCCAGTCTCTCTATTCAAAATGATCTCACTGAAATAGACCTGAGTTTGTAATTCTCTAAGATAATTAACATATTAGCATTTTTGCTATCATTTCTCCAACCAGTGTTGTTCATTAAATAGAAACCGTGTCTCAGTCATCATTACATCTCCTAAAAGAACAATGTCCTTGTTTATTTATAAATTAGTGTGTTTCAGCTAGCTTCTATCCACCTCCACCCACCTGATTCCCTTGTTTAGGTATATTCTAACTTGTCTACTACCAATTAGCATTAGTTTAGCACTTTGACATCATTATTTTATTTAACTCTGTTAAGTATTTTTTAACCGCCTTTTTAAAAAATAAATAGTTTCATGGCTTGGCGCCTGCCACATGCACTGAGGCTGGCGGGTTCGAGCCCGGCGCGGGCCAGCTAAACAACAATGACAACTGCAACAAGAAAATAGCCGCGCGTTGTGGCGGGCGGCTGTAGTCCAGAGAGTCGCTTAGGCCCAAGAGTTTGAGGTTGCAGTGAGCTGTGACGCCAGGGCAATCTACTGAGGGTGAAATAGTGAGACTCCTTCAAAAAAAAAAAAAAAAAAAGAAAGAAAGAAAGAAAAGAAAAGAAAAAGAAGAAGAAATAGTTTCACTTTGTTGTCGGGGCTAAAGTGCCATGACGTCAGCCCAGCTCACAGCAACCTCAAACTCTGGGACTCGAGGGATCCGCCTGCCTAAGCCTCCCGAGTAGCTGTGACTACAAGGCACACGCTATGATGCCCGGCTAAGTTTCTTTCTTTCTTTTTTTTTAAGTAGAAACGGTCTCACTCTTGCTCAGGCTGGTCTGAACTCCTGAGCTCAGGCGATCCACCTGCCTCGGCCTCCCAGAGTGCTAGGATTACAGGCGTGAGCCCCCGCGCCCGGCCCAACTATCCTTTAGTTTACAAATGAGGCAGCTGAAGCTTAGAGTAGAGTGGACGTCCAAACCTGCGCCCCTTCTACCACTTCTGCCAGTTCTTGACTCCCTCTGCTACCGTCTCCCAAACCTCCAGCCCCCCGCAGTCTTTCCCTCGGCAATTCTAACTTTCTTCTTCCGGATTCCAGGCTCACGCCCATTCTTCCGCATTGCTTCTGCACTTACTTATCCCTAATCAAAGATTCTTCCCAAGGCCTCGTCCCTCACAACTACACCGCAAACCAGAAACTCTGTACTCACAACACGCAAAGACTCCGACTCATAGAACCCAACCGAAAAGCCAAAGTCAAATCAAGTAGGGACTCGGCGCCACTGAAAGGCCATGAATCCGCCCAATGGCCCGCAAGCTTACAAGGCTCTGGGGCTTGCGCACCAATCGGAAGAGTAGTCACAGGGGAGCCCCGCCGCGCACAGGTTGCCGGGAAGTGTAGTTTTTCTCTTGCACGCCTCTCTGCGCAGGTGAGGAACTAGAGCTGCAGTTCAGCTAGTCAGGTTGGGGATGTTGGGTTGTTTGGTGTGGGAATGGACTAGTTTCGGGCACTTCCAATTTAAGCTTGCTCAACAACTTTGTTTTTATGAAGAGTGATGCAGAAATACTATCCTAATCATGGAATGGCTCACAGGAGTACTGCAGAGTGTTATGGTACATAACGTTATATGTTATAATTTATAAGCTAGTCTCAAGAAGGTGAAGATTCTAAAAAAATGTTTCTCCTTCAATGACCTGGTGGCTTAGAGCCAGAATAGGACCTGAGGATCAATTTCTAAGGTCAGGTGTTTAAGTATTTAAATGCTACTGTTTATTAACATTCTTTTTTAACAGGTGTAAAAAAATAGCTTTACTCATTAAAGCAAGTTCAAAATCACATTGTCTCATTCTTCCCAGAGAGCAAAAGGTAGGGGTAGAAGAAAAGGCATTTTAGTCTCAGAGTTGCAGCTACCACCGTGGAAAAGCTGTGACTCTTCACTGGTGTAAGCTCTAAGAACGTCTACATGAAATTTGCCATTTTCTATAGGCACACCTTGTTTTATTGAAACATGGCTTTATTGTGCTTTTTGCAAATTGACGTTTTATGGCAGACATAAGCAATATTTCAAGTTCTTTCTTTCTAGCTCTCTGAAAGAGTGGCACTTCGACCGGCAGAGATCTCACAGACCAAGGCTTGTACAAAAGGTCTTTATTGGTAGGGGAGGGAGGCTGCAGAACAGCACTAAGGAGGAGAGAAAAAGAGGAGAGAGAAGAGGGGAGAAAGGGAGAGCAGAGAAGAGCAAGGGGGGGAAGGGAGATAGAGAGAGAAAGGGAAGAAACGTACCCTTATATAGAGAAGTCTGAGAATGGTGATGGGATGGTGGGATAACCAATAAGGAGTTATTGCTGCGGTCGAAAGAGTTGTTAGGGGTGGGCAGTGGGTAATTGGAACAGAGTGATGAGGTAAGCCACTCCCTGTGCTTGGGGAGTTGTAACTTTAAGAGTAGGAAGGGCCTTTCTGAGGCAATTATCTAACAGTCTCTCTCTCTCTCTTTTTTACTTATTTTTTTTTTTCTGAGACCAATTCTCCCTCTGTCACCCTGGATAGAGTGCTATGGCATTGTGATAGCTCACAGCAACCTCTAACTCTTTGGCTCAAGTGGTCCTCTTGCCTCAGCCTCCTGAGTAGCTGGGACTACAGGAGCCCAGTGCAACGTCTGGCTAGTTTTTCTATTTTTATTTTTTTTAGATGGAGCCTCAAGCTATCCCCCTGGGTACAGTGCCATGGCATCACAGCTCACAGCAACCTCCAACTCCTGGGCTCAAGCGGGTCTCCTGCCTCAGCCTCCCAAGTAGCTGGGACTACAGGTGCCCGCCATAACGCCCGGCCATTTTTTGGTTGCAGCCATCATTGTTGTTTGGCGGGCCCGGGCTGGGGATTCAAACCCGCCACCTTAGGTGTATGTGGCTGGTGCCTTAGCTGCTTGAGCCATAGGCACCGAGCCAGTTTTGCTATTTTTAGTAGAGATGGGTCTCAGTTCTTGCTCAGGCTGGTCTCAAATTGGTGTGCTCAAGCAATGGATTACAGGCGTGACCCACTATGCCTGGTCAGCTCTTTTATTATTAATATATCAGTTATGGTGATCTGTGATCAGTGATTTTTTTTTGTTTACTTTTTTTAGAGGGTCTTGTTGCCAAAGCTGGAGTATAGTGGCAGGATCTTAATTCGCTGTAACTTCAAACTCCAGGGCTCAAGGGCTCCTCATGCCTCAGCTGCCCAAGTAGTCACCATGCCCAGCTCACTTTTTAATTTTCTATAGGGATGAGGCTTGGCTATGTTACTCAAGCTAATCTTAAATTCCTGGCCTTGAGGGATCACATCTTGGCCTCCTAAAGTCCAAGGATAACTGACATGAGCTTTCATACCCAACATTATATTACTATCATGATTGTTTGGGGTGCCACAAACCACACTCATATAAGATGGCAATTTAGGGGGTGGTGCCTATGGCTCAAGGAGTAGGGCACTGGCCTCATATACTGGGGGTGGTGGATTCAAGCCTGGCCCTGGCCAAAACTGCAAAAAAATAAATAAAAATAAAATGCTTTAAAAAAAAAAGATGGCAAATTTAATCCATAAATGTTGGGTTTTTTGTTTGTTTGTTTGTTTGTTTTTGAGACAGAGTCTTACTTTGTTGCCCTTGATAGAGTGCTATGCCGTAACAGCTCTCAGCAACCTCAAATTCTTGGTGTTAAGCAATTCTCTTGCCTCAGCCTCCCAAGTAGCTGGGATTACAGGTGCCTGACACAATGCCTGATTATTTTTTTTTTTTGAGACAGAGCCTCAAGCTGTCACCCTGAGTAGAGTGCTATGGCATCACAGCTCACAGCAACCTCCAACTCCTGCCTCCACCTCCCAAGAAGCTGGGATTATAGGCATCTGCCACAGCGCTTGGTTATTTTTTTTTTATATTTGTCATTTTTGTTTGGCGGGCCCAGGCTGGATTTGAACCCGCCAGCTCAGGTGTATGTGGCTGACGCCTTAGCCGCTTGAGCCACAGGCGCCAAGCCTTATTTTGGGGTTATAATTGTCATTGTTGTTTGGCAGGCCCAGTCTGCGTTCCAACCTTCCAGTCCTGGTGTATGTGGCCGGCGCCCTAGTCGCTGAGCTACAGGCACCGAGCCCTAAATGTTGTGGATATTCTGACTGCTCCACACACTGGCCATTTCCCTATGGTTTCTCTCCTTCTCCTTGGGCCTCTTTATTCCCTGAGACACAGTGGTATTGAAATTAGGCCAGTTAGTAACCTTACAATGACCTCTAAGTGTTCAAATGAAAGAGTCAGATGTCTCTCACTTTAAATCAAAAGCTAGAGATAATTAAGCTTAGGGAGTAAGGAACATAGAAAGTCCAGATAGGCAGAAAACTCCTGCCTCAGCCTTCCCAGTGGTAGAGTCAGGACAGGTTGTTTCAACAGTTACTAGGAAAAACTGGCTTTAGGGTTACAATAGCTGGGTTTGTAACCTAGACTTAACCCAAATTTAACTTTTGGAGCTGGTGTTATGTGCTTCAAGTGCTTTTTCCCTTTGGCTTCTCTACTGTGATTTAGTTGGATATGGCAAGATCCAATTTATATAATCAACTTTCTTTTCTTTTTTTTAATTTATTTATATTTTTGAGACAAGTTTCACTATATTGCCCTCAGTAGAGTGATGTGGCCTCACAGCTCACAGCAACCTCAAACTCTTGGGCTTAAGCGATCTCTTGCCTCAGCCTCCTAAGTAGCTGGGATTACAGGTGCTTGCCACAATGCCGAGCTATTTTTGTTGCAGTTGTCATTGTTTAGCTGGCCTGGGCTGGGTTCAAATCCGCCAGCCTCAGTGTATGTGGCTGATGCCATAACTACTGTGCTACAGGCGCAAAGTCAACTGTAAAATCAACTTCATAGTGGGAAATGATATCACTACAAACTCATGGCCTCCAACTTAAAAGTTAAGCCCTCAGGGTGGCACCTATGGCTCAGTGGGCAGGGCACTGATCCCAGATACCGAGGGTAGCGGGTTCAAACCCATTCCTGGCCAAACTGTAAAAACAAAAAATAGCCGGGCATTGTGGCAGGCACCTGTAGTCCCAGCTACTCAGGAGGCTGGTACAAGAGAATCACCTAAGCGCAGAAGTTGAAGGTTGTTGTGAGCTGTGACGTCACAGCACTCTACCAAGGGCAACACTCTGGGAGGCAGAAGTGGGTTGATTGCTTCAGCTGAGGAATTCAAGACCAGCCTGAGCAAGAATGAAACTCCCATTCTACTAAAAATAGAAAAAACTAGCAGAGCATTGAGGCGGGTGTTGGGGCAGGTGAATGTAGTCCCAGGTACTCAGGAGGCTTAGCCAAGAGGATTGCTTGAGCCTAGGAGTTTGAGGTTGCTGTAAGCTATTCCACCCCAGCACTCTATCCAGGGCCATAGAGTGAGATTCTGTCTCAAAACAAACAAACAAACAGTGAAACTTAAAAAAATTGAAAGGTTAGCCAGGTGTTGTGGCAGGCACTATAGTCCCAGGTACTTGGGAGGCTGAGGTACTGATATAGGACAAGTGGTATCCTAGCCAGCTCGTGGAGCTGGAGGCAAGGACCAGCTGCCTCCGCCTTGGCAACGTTGGTGCGGTGGCAGCAAGCAGCAGAACCAGCAGGCTGGAGGGTGGACAGGGGGTCCCCATTTCCTAGGCCTGGGAATAAAAGGGATTATAGCCATTCATTTGCAACCCAGACATGTTGTTCCAGACATGTCCCAGACAAGCTAAATGTAACTACCAAGGGCCAGACATGCCCCAAACACCGCTGAGTCCCAGACATGTTGTTCCAGACATATCCCAGACAGATGTCCCAGACCTGCTAAATGTAACTACCTCACCCTGCTAAATGTAACTACCAAGGGCTAGAGGTGCCCCAGACACAAAGTCCCAGACATGTTGTTCCAGAC